TTTTTCTCTGTCTCTCTCCACTCGGTCACGGTTAACGATAGTAGTTACCTGCGTAGCTCCACGCAGCTCGTTACCTGCCAACCCACCCTTCTCCCTGCCCCATGTAGAAGGGTTGCTGCTTACAGGAGGGAGGGGGAGTAGGATATAACGTGGCCGAGAAGACCATGTGTAAAATTGGCGGCGCAGGCGCCCCGTAACCGCCACCTTCCCTTCATCCTTTCTTCCGCCCGCGAGTTTCCTGATGCTGCGCTCCGCGGCTCAGTCGGTGGCCGTCATCGGGATCGCTCTCTCCCTCCGCCTCTTCTCTCTTCTCGCGTCCAATCCCGCGTACAATCGATCTTATTTCTCCGGAGAACGTCTCTCTCTCTCCCTATCTCTCCCTCTCCCTTTCTCTCTCTCTCTCTCTCTCTCCCGTACACGCGGAGAGGAGAGGAATCCCGCTTTGAACGAGGCATTTTACTTCCGCGAAGTAGGTGGATACGACGAATGATCCCTGACGTATCCTTGGTTTTGAGAGTAACAAGTTCGATCGGACGAGAAAAGACAGGATAATAATAAAAGTGGAAGAGAAGAAAGGAAGGAAGATTATTATTATCGTTGTTTTGGTATTCGAGCGTGTAGTGGCGGCGAAGGTAAATCTTGAATCACTTGAGGAGGGAAATAAATTTTTTCGAGAGAGAAGGGAAATATTAAATATTGGGGGTGAAGTTTATCGATCGAGGATCCGCTTGAAGAATTGGAAAAGTGTGCTTTCTCTTCTGGAGGAGGATATTCAAGATTGTATTGTATATTAAGTTGAGGCTGATTTGAAGGAATCGCAAGTTTTTCTAATTAATCCTCCGTTCGAGGAGGAGGAGGAATAGACTCGAGGACAAGTTCTCTGGAAAGTTAAGGAGGATATAAGAGGAGTCGATCGAGGATTCGGTCGAGCATCTCGAGGATTCTCGTACGAGGTGTCGGTCAAGAGACTTCTCTCCACGTGGGAGAAGTTTTCGCCGATTCTTGTGCCTTCTGCTTGTGATTTTACACACGAACACTCTTGGAGGCTTACTTGTGCGACGTTGGAGGTAAGATGTGGCCAGGTTTTTCCCCTCGTTTTTATTAATTTATTAATTTTTGGGGGGAAAAGAAGTTTAAGTTTGTAATCCAATTGTTGAATTTTCTTTTTCTAAAGAAACCAGTTGAATCGATAAAAATAGAAATGGAAGGTATTTTTCGATTCGATATTTAAATGAATATTCGAATTGCAAAGTGATACGATGATACGAAGTATGAAACGAATTTTGATTTTAATCCTGTTTCTTATAATTGCGTTCATGAAACTGATAATTTCTCTAAAAAAGATTCATTCAATCTGATTAAACGCGAGAGAAAATTCTACTGTTTTAATTCGAAACTTGTATAATTTTTATTGTCTTTTGCTTTTATGTTAAAAATTGTTAAAAATGTTAAAATTTCTTGCTTTTGCGTTAAAGAAGAATCATTTCTTCTTTAATAATTTAATTTGGAGAAAGTTGAAATATTAAAATATTAAAAATATTTTATCGAATTTAATTTGACTTCAGCGTGCCGTGATTCGTGAAACGAGTACAAGGGATAAAAAAATCTAGTAGAGAAACTGTTAACAAAGTGAATTAATTACAATATAGTTATAATTAATTTCGCAACGTTTCATAAATTTAACAAGCTGCTGCTGTACATTCTAAATATATGAAACGTATGTTTGAAACGAAAATTTAGTTGATAAAAAAAAAAGAATCCTTTCTTTATAAAATCTTCTTCGAGACGTCAAATATCTTTCTATCTCGTCACGTTAAATTCTTTTTATTATCGATACAAACAAACATAACATAATTCAAAAAAAACATTCCTATAATAGAACGAATATCAAGTATTTCCATCATTGAAAATTAATTTTCCAAAATTATTATCTTTCTCTTCACTTATCTAATTCATTACACTTCTACATTTATTCTAATGTCAAATGTTAAAATATACCTAGATTTCTCCCAAATCAAAATTAATCTTTCAAATTATTTTATTCTTCTCTAATAACAATTGCTCAAAAAAAAAAATCCATAACATAATTCAAAAAAACATATTCCTATAGTAGAATGAAATATATCAAGTATTTCCATCATTGAAAATTAATTTTCCAAAATTATTATCCTTCTCTATCTGANCAACTCTCCATTAGTTCATTACACTTTTATATCCATTCTAATATCAAATATTAAAATATACCTAGATATCTCCCAAATCAAAATTAATCTTTCAAATTATTTTATTCTTCTTTCTCTAATAGCAATTGCTCAAAAAAAAAAAAAAATCCATAACATAATTCAAGAAAACATATTCCTATAATAAAATGAAATATATCAAGTATTTCCATAATTGAAAATTAATTTTCCAAAATTATTATCCTTCTCTATCTGATAACTCTCCACTTACCTAGTTCATTACACTTCTACATTCATTCTAATATTAAAATATACCTAGATTTCTGCCAAATCAAAATTAATCTTTCAAATTATTTTATTCTTCTCTAATAACAATTGCTCAAAAAAAAAAATCCATAACATAATTCAAAAAAACATATTCCTATAGTAGAATGAAATATATCAAGTATTTCCATCATTGAAAATTAATTTTCCAAAATTATTATCCTTCTCTATCTGATAACTCTCCTATTTATCTGATAACTTACCTATTTCATTACACTTCTACATTCATTCTAATATTAAAATATACCTAGATATCTCCCAAATCAAAATTAATCTTTCAAATTATTTTATTCTTCTTTCTCTAATAGCAATTGCTCAAAAAAAAAAAAAAAAAATCCATAACATAATTCAAGAAAACATATTCCTACAATAAAATGAAATATATCAAGTATTTCCATCATTGAAAATTAATTTTCCAAAATTATTATCTTTCTCTTCACTTACCTAATTCATTACACTTCTACATTTATTCTAATGTCAAATGTTAAAATATACCTAGATTTCTCCCAAATCAAAATTAATCTTTCAAATTATTTTATTCTTCTCTAATAGCAATTACTCAAAAAAAAAAAAAAATTCATAACATAATTCAAAAAAACATATTCCTATAGTAGAATGAAATATATCAAGTATTTGAAAATTTTCCAAAATTATTATCCTTCTCTATCTGACAACTCTCCACTTACTTACTTCATTACACTTCTACATCCACTCTAATGTCAAATATTAAAATATACCTAGATATCTCCCAAATCAAAATTAATCTTTCAAATTATTTTATCCTTCTCTAATAGCAATTACTCAAAATAATCCATTGGATCTCTACAAAAATATTAAAATATCTATCAACAATCATTCAAGAAATACAAAATTAAAGTGGAATATTGCCTTGCCAGAAGGGTGCATCATCGTTGAGTAGCATCTAATAAAGACACCATTGGTGGCGGAAAAGCCACGTTGAATGAAATTTTCCAATGGGATGCAGCTTTTCTTCACGTGGCCGTCCACTTCCTCAACACTTCCGACCGCAGTAACCAAAGGGGTGGTCTGTTCTCAGTGTGCTTTATCGAAGTTTATTAGGGCATCTTTTTACGTGAACAACTGGAAACTATTACGTGACAAATATTGGCGCATGTTGGGTGAAAAATAGGTGTTTGTCGGATTATTAATTAATATCTTTTCCTTCTTGAAAGATGTTTCCATCGTTGTTTCGAGAATTATTTCTTTTTTCTTTTTTTGAGTGTGTGGTTAAAGAAAATATAATTAGATTGGAAAAAGATTTTGTGCATAGTTGAAAAGGTTTGTTAAATGGGGAAAAACTCTTTGATATTTCGAGTTGAAAGAGAAAGTGAATAATCCAAGTGATGAGTTTAATTTGCTTTACTAATATTTAATTATATATAAAAAAATTCTGTGATGATTTAATTTCTAACTGTTTAATATCCATCAGCAGTTTTTCACGAAAGTGTTTCCTCTTTTATTTCAGATTTTTATCGTTTTATCTTGAAGGCTTCAAGAATCGTTCTTCGCTCTATATCAACACCGAATAATATAAAAATTTCAAATTTGTATTAAATTCGTGCATTTGAAAATATTTAAAATTTTCAATCACCTGTTTTCCATTCGTAATTCCGAAGCTCAATTATCCATCGATGGCATCGAGGAGGGATGAGGAACGCCAAGTCAAAGAAGGTGAAGAATTCGCCAAAAAGAGTTAGTATTAAACGTGATTTAAGAGAGAATTATTCTATCTCGAATAACCTGTTGAGAAAGTTATTACAGAAAATTCGAATTCCATCATTTACTGGAATCCTATTCCATCGAAGGCGTTCCTTTATTGCATAAAAGCTTAGGTGTGTATATGCAATACCAATATTCTTGCATGGAGGGAGGAAACTCCATTTGTCTCGCTGAATTTTCAAAAAAACCACCCCTCGTGGCCGTATCGATTATTCTGGATCCTTCTGGATTCTGTTTAATTCTGCAAAATTAATAAGGATGCTGTAATAAGGATATTATTATTTTATGAGTTACATGAGTTATATGAGAGAGAAGATATAGTAGAAAATAATAGTAAAAGAGTTTTTTTAATATTATATTACTTTTGGATGTAAAGAAAATTTTATATAATAATTTGAAAGTTATTATATAAAATTTAGTTAAAAAGTTATTATATAAAAGTTATTAATTTGAAAGTGAAGATGATGAATGGAATTTTTGGATCTGAAGAAAAATTTCAATTTTGGAATATTATTATT